CACATCGATCTGGCCACTGGGAAGAGACTGGGCTCAAAGATCAGCCTCCTCATCCTTCTCTTTCATGCAGGGGATGACCACAGTCATTGGCGCTATGGAGGTGAGACACCCACCACCTGCACAGACCAATTTTGGGCACCCAGCTCTGCCCTGCTCCACAACCATCCCCGAACTCTGGTCCTGGGCGTTCCGCACACCGCATTCACATCTGCCAGCCCCCCAAAACGCCCGCTACTCGTCTCTGTCCACATCCTTGATTTCTATTTCCCGCCCCAATGTCTTCTGACTCCACCCCCACACTTTTTCTATCCCTCTTCCCTAAAAGTTCCTGATCCTATCACCGGACTTCCTGTCCATACTGTTCCACCACAGGCGACCCACCCTGGCCCCAGATGTCCCCAGCCTGCGCGGGCCGCTTTCAGTCCCCGGTAGATATCCGCCCGGAGAACACTGCGTTTTGCCCTGCCCTGCGACCCCTGCAACTCTGGGGCTTTGAGCTCCCGCCACTCCCAAAACTGCACCTGCGCAACAATGGCCACACGGGTGAGGCGGTCCCGGGGTGGAGCCTCAGGAAGGGACCGAGGCTATCTGGGGATGGGACGGAGCCTAGGAAAGAGGGACGGTCCGGGCGGTGCTTGGGGGTTAAGCTGGCTCTCAGGGTCGGGGCAGCGCCTGATTTACCAGCTCTTCCCCCGCAGTGCAGCTGACTCTGCCTCCCGGGATGGAGATGGCACTGGGTCCCGGGCGGGAGTACCGAGCTCTGCAGTAGCATCTGCACTGGGGGGCTGCTGATCGCCCGGGATCGGAGCACACGGTTGGCGGCCAACGTTTCCCTGCGGAGGTGAGCGAGCAGCTGTCCGCAGAGGGACGAAGTGGGGCGCCGGGCAGGGGATCTTGCTCACTCCTACCTGCCTGTCCTCTCCAGATCCACGTGGTTCACCTCAGCACTGCATTTGCCAAAGTTGACGAGGCCTTGGGGCGCCCAGGGGGCTTGGCCGTGTTGGCTGCCTTTCTGCAGGTACCAGCCCTCTACAGTCCCCCACTCCCTGCTTCCTCTTGCGTCCGGGCTCAGTATATCTTGCCCTCAGAGGCTGATCCCAGCATACTCACCCTAGCACCTGGCTATCATCCTCATTCTCTCATTAGTTTATTCATTCAATACCCACTGTGAGCCAGGCACTGGATCACAAAAAGGACTCAGAAGCCGTGGGTTCTTGTCTCTAAAGAACCCACAGCCAGTGAGGGAAGCTTACAGGTAGACACATACAAATGACACAGAGTAAAAGAGGTGGTCAGGGAAGGCTTCCCGGAGGAAGTGAAACAAAGCTTTCACTAGTGGGAAATAAAGGAGATATTCTGTGCAGAGCAAATGGTATGTGCAAAGACTCAAAGAATATGGCCCATTCAGGGAATGGCAGATGCAATAAAGTGGACATCAGGAAGAGTAATTTCTCTACTGCTCCTATAACACGTAATTTCCCCTTAGTGAAATGTAACAAAGTCTAGAGAAACATCTAGTGACCTCTTTGGACCTGTAATGATCAAGGCTACAAACACAATGATTAGAGGAGGCTAATACAATGGAGGGATGGTGAGACACCCGCTAGCTTCACTCATGCCCTGACTCCTTAATACTAGCCTCACAGCACAAAATTCAGAGAAGTGCCTTGGAAATAACATGTTCTTGTTCCAAAAGTCAACACATGAATTTATTAAGGTGAATGCAGAGGTAACATGAATACAAAGGTTATTACAGCTTTCGGGGTGAAGCATGGAGCATGTGTGAAGTGTGAAGGTAACACTGGGTGAGTCTTGAAAAGTGAGTAGGGCCCAGGTCATGAGGGCCTTGTATCCTAAAGTGATCCACCTTCCTCCTCCTCCTCCAATCTGCCATTGAAAACTAGCCCGCCAAGCTTGTTAGGTTAGTCTGCAGACTAAGAGTAAGTCCACTGAGTAATGGTACATAAGATTTTGTGTGTTCCCAGCATTCTCAGAGCTAGGGAATGAGGAAAGACTGTGGGAGCCCCACCTCACCTTCAGGCCTCCAGCCATGGCCCTAGATACATGTACTATCTTGCACTATCATCCCCTAGGAAGGTCCAGAAGAAAACAGCGCCTATGAGCAGTTGCTGTCACATTTGGAAGACATCTCTGAGGAAGGTATGGAGTTGGGGTCCCTCCTGCAGGGAGAGGTTTGATGTGTGAACTGGCCCACTGTGATCTTGATAATAACTATGAAGCTGAATAAAGGCAAACAGGCAAAGGCCAACTGCTGCCCACAGCCTTCATCGTTAAAAACCAAACAAAAATGAGACAAAAAACAAATGAGACCACCAACAAAAAAAATACTGTTTGGAACTTCCAGGGTTGAAGAGCTAAAATTTTTCTGAGAACTGTCTATTCTCCTTATAAGCATCAAAAATTTTAATTTTGTAAATACATTGGAAATCTTTTCCTTCTCAGTCACACTGGGTCATTTTTAAACCTCACTTACCCTACTGAATCTTAAGTTTTGCTAAACTAGAAGGAGCTGTGATTTTTGAGTTTTGGCCTGTTTTTTTATAGTTATAAAAACGTATTTATATTTATTTACAAGTTATTCAGCTGATTTTCCCTTTTGATTCACCCTGAGCTTAAATATGTGGTCCAGCATTTTATCACAGTATTCAAAGTAAGAGTGATGCCTCAGGGGGAGGGGCTGAGGAGCAATTCTCTCACTCTGTGAGGCTCCAAAGCCCTTCACTTTCTTCTGAGTTGTGTCTTGTGCTGAGTTATGGGGAGGAAACAGTGAAGAAGTGGTCTCAACGAGTTGAATCAGCTTGGCTTCTGGGATATGAAACTGTATCCCTATACCCTAAAGCTTTGGAGGGGAGTGATCTAGATGAGATTTCAGCACAGGTCCTCTCCACAGACTCAGAGATTTGGGTGCCAGGACTGGATGTATCCGCACTGCTGCCCTCTGACCTCAGCCGCTACTTCCGATATGAGGGGTCTCTGACCACACCCCCCTGTGCCCAGGGGGTCATCTGGACTGTGTTCAACCAGACAGTGAGGCTGAGTGCTAAGCAGGTGGGGCTGGAGCATGGTGTTGACATAGGGGATACTGGGGGAAAGGGGTATAGGATAAGGTGAGAAAGGAGGCATAATGAAAGGGCCATGTGGGGGGTGAAAAAGACATGGAGGGTGGAGCTCTGAGGTGCCGGCTGTGAGTAGGCCTGTGACCCTTTTGTTTCCTTGTCCTGAACCCTCCCCCACTGTCTAATGACCTCCCTAGCTCCACACCCTCTATAGCTCCTTGTGGGGATCTGAGGACTCTCGGCTACAGCTGAACTTTCGAGCCACACAGCCTTTGAATGGACGAATGATTGAAGCCTCCTTCTCTATTGGAGTGGAGCAGACCACTGAGCCAGGTGCAGCTTTGTCTGGTATCCCATATTACCATGTCCCCCAGCCACAGGTCCCTCATCCTCTCATATGTCTTCATTTGTCTGTCACTGATAGTCACAGCCCCTGGCCCTAATGTGTCCTTTTTTCTCTTCAGTCCACCTGAATTCCTGCCTTGCTGCTGGTGAGTTTGTATTCTTCCTCTGGCTCCTGATGCCGGGGACTCCCCTTGGCACTGTTCAGCTCCAGGGGCTAGTCAGGACCACATCTGCTGCCTCTACTTTTCTATAGAACAGACCTCCAATCCCAATAGGATAGTGTCAGATCAAGGTGGAAGTTCCCCTCTTGTCCCCAGGGCAAGAGTTGGTCAGAATGAAGCCCCAGAAATCTCCTAACACCCTCTTTCCCCAACAACCTCTTTTACTTCATTTTCAGGGAGGAAAAAAGGTGTTTATCTTATCACTTCTTGTGTATAAACGGCCATCCGTTTGCTGGACTCTTCTGAATTCTGAGTTACTGTGGGCAGCTGGAGAACTTGGGGCAGTGGTGGGGGGAATACACAGATGTAGGCCCTGAGGGAACCCCACAAACTCCTTTTCACTCTGAGGCAGCCTCTCTTCTCCCTCTAGGTGACATTCTGGCCCTGGTTTTTGGAATCCTCTTTACTGTCACCAGCATTGCCTTTTTTGTGCAAATGAGAAGGCAGAAAAGGTATGTTCATACTGACCCTCTCCTTCAGGCACAGCTCCCAGCTCCTATGTGGAGTCCAGAACAGCTTCATGTAAATTGCACACAAATGAGCTCATCCTGGGCCAGTTTCTTATTAGGCTTCCCTGTTGTTTAGACACCCAAGTGGGACCAATGGGAGTGTTAGCTACCACCCAGCAGAAGTCACCGAGAGTGTTGCCTAGAGGCCTGGAACTTGGAGAATGTGCAGAAAGAAGCTAGCCAGAGGAATCTGAGGGGGAGCTGGAGACTTTGTTCCATCCTGCCCATTACACCACTTTTTAATTGCCAAGATTTTTAAAAGAAAATAAATGTTTCTAATAAAATATGTGGAAGGTATCTTTGTTCCCCAAATCAGGATGGTGTATTCATTTCCTATTGCTGCTATAACAAATTACCACAAACTTAATGGTAATGCAAAATTGAGTTCCGGAGGTCAGAAGCCCAAAATGAATCTTGTGGGCTAAAGTCAAGGTGTCAGCAGGGCTGGTTCCTTCTGGACACTGAGGGGAGAATGTTTCCTTGCCTTTTTCAACTCCTAGAAGCTAAGCATTCCTTGGCTTGTGGTCCCTTGCTCATATCACTCCAACCTCTTGTTTCCATTTTCACATCTCCTGCAACTGCCTTTGACCTTCTTGCCTTTCATAAGGACCCTTGTGATTACACTGGGCCTATCCAATAACCTAGAATAATCTCCCCATCTCAAAATCCTTAGCTTAATTGCAGGGTCCCTTTCCCATGTACAGTAACATTTCACAGTGGACATCTTTGGTTGGGGGCATTATTCTGCTATCAGGAAGGGGGCAGAAATGACTGATATTGTTGGAATGACTCTGTGTGTGTGTGTGTGTGTGTGTGTGTGTGTGTACTGCAGTGTCTAGGGGTAGAGCAGACTCAGCCTCTAGGCTTAAAAATCATATTGAGGATTTTGGGCTTTCACCCTGCTCAAGTAAAATCTGTGTAGCTTTGCAGTCTTGCCATTAGACTGTGTTGTCTGGCTCAGCCACCTGCTGGAATGGAGTGGTGCCCTGACAGCAGTTCCTTTGCTCTGTGGGGAGTAAGGCCGAGGATGTTCCCGCAGCCCTACTGGGCCTCTCTGCTTCACACAACCGGTTCACAACCCCTTCCCAGTGAGCCCAGCACCCTCACCCCTTGGTTCCCATCGAAAAGAAAGTCTTGTCACAGAGCATGGACCTAGACCCTGCTCCTTCAGGTCCTTCCAATTCCATTGCTCCCCTCAGGCATCCTCTCAGCCTTCTCTACTTTGGAATACTACCACCACCATTGCTCACACCAAAGAAAGGCTTAAAGGGCCCTGTGATGCCAGGAATAGTTTTATTGGGTTGGGCAGCAACTATAGCCTGGCTGGAGGCAGTGCCAGCCCTCACAGGTTGTTGAGTTCCAGCAGGGTCTGGTCGAGCGTCTGGTGAATCTCCACGTTCTCTTCCTTGGCACTGGCCAAGGTCTCTGTGAGAGGAAGCAGCACATGAGGAGAGGTAGGGAAGACACGTGGAGAGAGACATGAGGAGGCATGGACAGGGGATTTGACAAATAGACATGGAGTGGGTTGGAAGCACACAAAGACACAAGCATTCAAGGACTTGAGGACCTCATGGTAGGGGCAAATGGATGGGCTGACCCGGACAGACATGGATGCCTCACTCAAGGCTCCGGGGCCGCGGAGGTGGGATGGGAAGGCTTGAGTCATAAACTAATTTACTCTCCTTCTTTAGAAGGTTTAAGAGAATTGGAAACAAAAGGAAAGACGAAAACTGAGCCAGGAAAGGGAGGGCCAGACAGACAGATTTGAGGCAGAAAACAGACCTGCAGTGAAAGCCCCACGTTGCTGGCATCCAATGTTTTTCCAAACTTCATCTCAAGACCTTTCACGACCTTCCTGACCCTCCCCTGCACCTGACCACCCCATTTTCCTTCCAGTCATTCCTTGAGATCCTGGAACCCCAGCTGAGTGCTCCAAGGTCAGTGACAGGTCTGGGTTTGTAGAGGCACCACAGGGTTCATGGTGACTGAAGGGGTCATACATGCCCACATGCAGCAGTGACAGAAAGTGACAGACTAGGAGTGCTTGTGTGGAGGGGGCTTCAGTGTGGGCCACAGAGTTTTGTGGGTAAGCTCAGGGGGGGGGGATGGCACAAGATTTGGGGTGTCTATAAGAGCCAAGTCTCAGCAGTGAACTAGTGCTCTTGGGGTAGGGGGTGAAGGAAGTGCTCTCTAGAGGTCAGGGAAACAGCATGAAGACCAAGTTGAGTTTATTCAGCAGCAGAAAGAGGTAGAGGCCAGTGAGTGGAAGGGGCAATAGATGGAGAGAAGGAAGAAGCAAGTGCCAGGGTGGGCAGCTCCCGTGTGATGGAGGTTCTCCTAGGCTGCACCCAGCCTGGCTGTGCAATATTGGTAATTTCTGCTCCTCCTGCCTGCCCCCCTCCTCATAGAGAGAATGGAAGGGAGAGGAGAGAAGGGGCAGGGGGGAAAAAACTGGTGAGGGGCTCAGAGAGAGGTGATGTCATTGAGTGCGTTGTCCAGCTCCTCGCTGATGGCCTTGTACTTCATCTTCTGTGCATAGACTTCATCTGGGGGGGCACGGGGATTCAGGGATGGGTGGGAGTGTGGGGAGAGGGAATAGAGGGAAAGAGGAAAGGAAGGAGTGAGGGTAATAAAAAGAGAGAATAAGAATCAGAGAGAGGTGGACAAAGATAGAATGAGAGAGACAGGCCAGAGAAAAGGCTGGACAGCTGTCAGGGCTCCCTCCTCCCCTCTCTGTACCCATCTCTTTTGTCCTTCTCGGCACCCTAAATTGGTTCTTGTCCCAGGAGCTCCTGCCTCCCCTGGGGACCTGGCGGCACAGTGCTTTGGATAAGCAGGAGTGCTTATTTCAAGGAGAGAGTATTCAAGCCAGAAATGTCTAAAGTCCTATGAAGTTGGAGATAAAATTTAGGGTTGCCCAGGAAGGCTGGAAACAAGAGAAATGGGAATTATGAAAATAAAAGATTACTGTAGAATAAAAAGGAGAGACAGTTTCAGGCACAACGTTGATGATAGTGAGAAATAATAGCCACAGACTAGCAAATACCTGGATGTTTGTTTTCACCAAATCTAGCTTAAAATAGTATTTTCCATTAACATTGTCTGCAAACCTAGACATTAAACTGAATAGCTCTCTATTTAATCAAGAAGGCTCTGTAATATAGCTCAGCTCTATTGTGTTGCACTTGGAGGCAGAATTGTCTAAATTAGTGCTACTCAAAGTGTGGTCTGAGGACCAGCAGCATCGAGAGCTTGTCAGACATAGAAAGTCTCCAGCCCAAAGTCAGCAATCACTCTGCAGTAGGACCCAAGAATCTGTATTTTAAAACCTCTCTGGGGGATTCTCACACATGCTCAAATTTGAGAAGCACTGGGGTTGTAGCTGATTACGAGTACTTGAATGATAGGCACCGACCACCAGAGTTTGTGGGGTCCCAGGTGGTCCAGCCCTAATTTATCAGTAGCAAATATAATGGGATGTGAAGATAAGGGAGAGGCTGACAGTCATGGGGAGTGCAGGCCTACTTAAAAAGATTTGGGGGTACAGGGGAGTATCCCTTTTACCTTCCAGGTCATCGATGGTTTTCTCCAACTTTGCCACAGACCTTTCGGCAAACTCTGCTCGAGTCTCAGCCTGGGAGTAAAGGCAAGATGTAGAAACGACAAAAAATTAGGTCCTCCCAGACCCTAACACTTCGGTCAACCTCTTCCACCCCACCCCTATCCCCAGATTCCCCACCACAGGCAGTCCCTGACGAGGATTGGGGGGCTTGGGGGGGGTGGGGACTGGACTCTTACCTCCTTTAGTTTCTCCTCCAGGAGTTTGATCTCCTCTTCATATTTATCTTCTTTGGTGGAATACTTTTAGGGACATATACATGCCATCAGTAGATCGCCTCCAATCGCCTCCACAGATCCTTCATTTCTCCTCTGAACCCCACAGACTACTCATGACCTTGTCTCCATCAAACACCCAGCCCCCACCGCTTCCCTCCCCTACAGGACCCCATCCTTACTGCCCCTCAACCCCCCTCTACCTTGTCTGCTTGGGCTTCCAGGGATTTCAAGTTGTTGGTAACAATTTTCAGCTCCTCCTCTAGGTCCCCACATTTACTGCAGGGTGTGTGTGGCAGGGTGGGGTGTGAGGGCACAGTGGGGGGAGACAGTGGAGATGGCACAGTGGGGGAGTGGGAGAGGAGAGAAGAGAAGAGCAAAGTTGTGAGAGTGACAGCAGACAGAGTTCGGAAGCCCCAGGCCCTTCCCTACCCCCAGCAGGTGAGAGAGAGCAGCCTGAAATGGAGGATAAAGTGAGCTGAGAGAAGGCGCCATTGCCCAGAAAGGTCCAGAGAGGTCACTACCTCCTCCTCTGAGGCCATCAGGGACTTGAGGGCCTGGTCCATGGTTCGAAGTTCCTCCTCCAGCTGCCTGGCTCGGCTATGGGCAGCAGGTAGGGGTCAGAGGACAGGACGTGTCCCTACGGCCCCAAGTCTGAGAAACTGCTTCCCCACTGTGTAGACTGCCACACGGCCACAGGCTCAGGCCAAGTTTTACTTGCCACCCTGGGGCGTTCTTACCTCTCAGCCACTTCAGCTCTTTCTTCTGAGCGTTCCAGCTCTCCTTCCAGGATCACCAGCTTCCTGGCCACCTGGGGGGAATGGGGAAAGAGAAGGAGTAGATCCATGGTGAATGGCTGGGAGTGTCTGGGGCTTGGGAGACAGAAGGAAGTGGAGCCGGCCTGTCACCTCCTCATATTTGCGGTCTGAATCCTCAGCGATGTGCTTGGCCTCCTTTAGCTGCATCTCCTGCAGCTCCATCTTTTCCTCATCCTTCATGGCTCGGTTTTCAATGACCTTCATTCCTCTGAGAGGCAGGGAGAAGGGTGGGGTCAGACCAGCAGAGGCAGGCTTCACACTCTAACATCTCACCCTCTGAGGGTCCCCTGCCCACCTTTCACTCTCATCAGCTGCCTTCTCAGCCTCCTCCAGCTTTTGCAGGGCTGTAGCCAGGCGCTCCTGTGCCCGGTCCAGCTCCTCCTCTACCAGCTGAATGCGGCGGTTCAGGGAGGCTACATCTGCCTCGGCCTGTGGGTCAAAGGTCAGAAGTCAAAAAGGCTTTGTCTACCTTGGATGAGGATCAGTGAGACTCCAGAGGATAATAAGATTCTTGTCAAAAAACCCCTAGGCTTCTTGGCTTCCAGGTTTTTAACGTATTTTTTTCCCCTAACCAACCATCTATCTTCTGCCCAGACTCTTTGCTCTAGTCCAAAACATGCATTCCTTGACAAATTCCACTCCCCTGCTATAGGAACAATTCCGGCACTGTGCATAGTTAGTCTCCCAGTGGTTATCTGCATGCAGGTCCCTCTGTCCCCTCCCAGGATACTCCAAGTGCTGGGACCAGGTCTAAGGCAGCCCTGACTCTACAGCAGAGATTGAACCAGGTAAAGAGATCCGGAAGAATCAGGCCAACCAGAGCTCACTGCTGCTAAAAATAGCCAATCACAGAATCAAGCTCCACTAAATGTCACCAGTTGCTAGGCAGATTCCCAGCGAGGGTTTCAGGAGGCAAGCCAGGCCTGTATGGGGACATCCATGGTTGTAGCAAGGGGTGCCCTGCCAAGGCGGAGAGGCAACTGGCAGTGGTGCAAGGGCTATATGAGTGACAGATACTCAGCCACTAATCCTAAAATATAGAGGCAAAACCATGCAGATTTTGGAGAAGGTCCATGGAAACAATAATACCTTGAGAAAAAAGAAAGGGCAGAGCAAGAAGGGCCCTGACAAAGGAAAATAAGAGAAGCAGTACAGTATGGTGTTATGAGCATTGGCTCTGAGTCAGATTGTTGTCTTTGAGCCACAGATTAGCCACTCAACACTTGTGTGACCTTGGGCAACTTATTTAGTCTCTCTAAGCCTCAGTTTCCTCCTTTTTAAATCCGAGTTGACGATAGCAGTTCCTTTGTAGGCAGTTCTGAGACAATGCAGTACTTCTAATACTCGATTAATCAACAGGACCATCTGGGAGGCTTATAAAACTAAACAGGTTCTCTAGCTTCTTGCTAGATCCACTGAACTGAAATCTCCAGGGCAGGAGCTTGAAAATCTTTTTTTTTTTAAAGCTCCCAAGCGAGTCTGATGATTTTGGGAAATAATAGAATAATATACAGAAAGCACTTGAGCACATTGTCTGCAGAGTCCGCCATAAACGTTAGGTTATCCCTGGCTTTTCTTCAGAGACAAAGACATAGAGACCCTGAGATTTAAGATTGGAGAGGACAAAGGACCAGTATAGGGAATAAGTGAGTGAGAGGGAAGAGATGGGTGGCAGCACTGGGGGCAGGGGGGGTAGCATGCAGGTCCTAAGCGGTACTGTAGGGTGGGGGAAGCACAGTACCATATATAGAAAGTAGATATAGCTTGTCTTTCAGGTGCTGAAGGCCACCTAGAGTGACAAGAGCCCATCATGGGCACAGGGCCAAATGACTCAGTGCGGAAGGATTCTGGGGACAGCACTGGGGGTTGGGAAGAATGACTCGGGGACATTGGGGGGCGGGTCTACTCTAGAGAGAGATGAGATTCTGTAAAAGGAAAACTCTCTTCACAGTAGTGGAGTGACAAATAATTCTGGAAGTCCTGGGTTCCTCATCACAAGACTGACATTTGCCATTTTCTACTTCTTAAGCTCTTCCCATCATGGATTTTGCTCTCTAGCCCACAGAAGGACACTATTGTCTCCATTGGACAAATGGGAAGCAAGACAGAAGGGAGAAACTGAGGGAGGCACTGTATAAGTTAAGTGCGCATTCAAGGTCACACAATAAGTTTAGGCAGTTTCCTTTCTATGCCTGGCACTGCTGCCCTGCTTCTCCAGCTCTGTCCCTGTCCACCCTCCTCCCCTCCAGCCCCCACCCAGCTCCTTGGGTTTCCAGTCCTGCCTTCAGCTGCACTGGGCCTTGGTTATTTATAGAGTGTCAGATGCCCAGGGTTGTCTTTGCTAGCAGCTGCAGGTCAGTTCCCTCCCAAGTGCCAGGGCTGGTAGAGAACCAAAACCAAAGGCTGGAGGTCAGAGAAACCAACCCAGGTTGGGAATGGGAGGAGGGAATTGGGGAACATGGATAATGGTCAACACAAACAGTAATGTCATCTCTGATCTCAGATGTTTAGACCATGCTTATGCTAATCCTCCTATCCACCCAACAGTAGGCTCATTTTAAACTTAATCCTGGGTGCAAGACAAATGGGGAAACTGAGGCAGAGAATAGTATTAGTAACCATGTCCAATGTCATATGGCCCCTCTCCTACCTCATGGTGGGGGTTGGGAATGACAGAAGGTGGAGAAGTCTGGTTAGGGGGTGTGGGTTGGGCAGAGAAATCTGAGTGGGCAGGACCTGGCAAAGTGACTGCCTTGGTATTTGTGGCCCTGTCCCTTTGCCCTGTGGCCTGGCATGGTCTCGAGGCTGACAGCTTAATGAGGGTAAATGAGGGGCCGATAGAACCTGAGCTGGGGCCCCAGTGCACAGCAGGGCCACTGGAGCCAGAGGTCAAGGCCAGGGAATTTCTAATGGCCCCCCAGGGGTGTAACTCAAGTCAGAGCCCATTTTTGTATTCCTCTCCATCTTCCTGCCCAATGCACCTACACCCATACCCTGCAAAATGTAGCTGCAGTCTCCTTTCAATTTTCAGCTGGAGGATTAAATGAGGTAGATGGTAAATTCTTGTATCACCCACCCCCACGATGACTCACTGCTTGATCACTGTACATCCTAAGAGCTGGAGCCAAATTACAAGGCTAAGTCCTTGGGGGAAGTGGTAAGTGGTTTTGATTTACCCACTGTCTTGGATTATTTGTGCAATCTCCCGCGGGCCTGGGTTCCTGAGGGGCAACCATTTCTGTCTTGGTGCTGGGGATATCTAGGTCCTCTTCTCCCTTCATCCCCATGTCTAGGACCCCTCCCAACTTGTTAACTCTCCCACCGTCCCCCAGGTCCACACTCACATCAGTGGCCTTCTTCTCGGCCAGCTCCAGTTTCTCCTGGGCGTCCTTCACTGACTCAGAATACTTTTCCACCTCATCCTCCGTCCCCTTCAGCTTCTTCTGGAGGGCCTGCTGTTCTTCCTCCAGCTGGGAGAGAGAAGCTTCAGTCAGCCAGGCCCAGGCCCCAGCCCAGGGGGCAGGCAGGGTGGTGTGTGAGGGGGTACTAAGAGATATTTAGAGGCTGTCAGGGAGGAAGAAGGATAGCAGAGGAGGGACAGTGCAGCCAGGGGTGTCTGAGGGACCTGGTGAGGTAGAGTTTCCAGCCCCAAGGAGCAGGGCCCGTCATTACTCTGCAAAGGCAGGAGTGGAAATTGGGGGACTGGGGCTCCCCAGCCTATGGTGGGTAGATGAACTGTGGCTCTGGCTAGGTCCCTGGGGGTACTGTGAAGGCCCAGACCCCACACTGGACAGGGCAGAGCTTTGGACAGCAGGCCTCAGGTTAGGGGGCACAGGCAGGGCCTACCCTGCCCTCGATTCGAGGGAGGGGGTTGCACTGGGCCCGGGGCCCCCCACCTGCTTGCAGCGGTCCTCAGCTTGCTTCTTGTCGGCTTCTGCCTGCTCAGCGCGGTCGATGGCATTCTCCTTGTCCAGCTTTAGCATCTGCATCTTCTTCTTGATGGCGTCCATGGCTGCGGTGTGGGACCGGCTGGCCGGCAGGCGGTGCGGACTGGGCTGGCTGCGAGGACTGGGCGCAAGGGTGACAGGCCAGGAGGACCAAGAGGGACTGGGATGTCCCAGCCGCGCGGACGCTTAAAAGGCTGGGAGGGACCGGGCGGAGCCGGGGGCCGGGACCCTCCCCCACCGCAGCCCAAACCTTGTAGGGGCAGAAGCACGGCCCGGT